GGAGAAAGGAGAAAGGAGAAAGGAGAAAGGAGGAGTGAGAGAGACCCCCCCCTGCACGGGGTCTGCTGGCGGGGTTACCTCGTCCAGAAGAACCTCTCCATCGTGATTCTGGTCGATCTCCTCAAAGAGGTTGGGGGAGACCTCGCCGTTCCACACAAACATGTAGCCCTCGGGCAGGCCGGACACCAGCTCCAGCAGCTCGATGTCGAACACCAGGACGGCGCTTCCAGGCACTTCCCCTTCTGCCAGGACAAAGAGCAAGGATGGGGGTCGCCCCCTCTCACCCACTCTCCCACCTTGCCCTGCATCTCTGCCCTTAACCTTTTCCCCTGCCCACTACCCTCTTCCCCCAGAATTAAGCATCTCTTCCCACTCCAGCAGGTGATCCCGAGCCCATCCAGCCTTCCCGGTCAGGCCATGGAGCGCGAGGCGGGCACAGGCGGATGCCTGTGCACGGAGCCACAACCACCGCGAGGCACAGACCCTGCAGCCCCATCTGGAGCCGCCCCACAGCGCCCCACGGCTCCCTGCTGGGGCAGGGCCCTGCTCCAGGGGCCCTCCAGGGGCCCTTCCCACCTGAGCCGTTGGGAGACTCCGTGAGGGGCTGAGCCAGGGGCAAACACGGCACGAGCAGCACTTCAGGCCTCGGGGTCACCCACGGCACACGGCGTCTGCGTGTGTGTAAGCCACTCTGTATATTCCCTAGCGTAGGGATTATTTCCACTATCAAGTCTTAAAAAAGCTTCGTTCCAATTGTTCTGGTAAGCACTTAGTATAAAGTGCTATATATATCTATCTATAAATATAATAATTCTGCAGCTTTTTTTAAAAAAAATGCATAGACTACAAGTTGTGGGAATGAATGATTTTCCTTTCTCTCTCTGCTGCATACACTTAATTTATTCTTACAAAAATAAAGTAGGTATCACCTATAAATGCTGGGCAATAGCAAATAATGGTGCTCTCTTCAGACAGGCAGCAGTTTACCAAAGCAGCGACTGGAGTTGCTCTAATGCAACGTGAATGATGCCCAGTATCCCGGTGGGGCAGGATAAAAATATTGTTTTACTGAAACAACAAAAGTTTCAATTAATTCTAACTGCCTGTAATGACGCGGTGTGAGGCAGCAGTGCCAAACGTTGCCTAGTTGTGACCCTCAGGACTTTTCACTTCGTGAACAGCCCTTACGGCGGGCGGGTGCGAGCAGCGATGCTCTCTCCCCTCGCACAGGGGCATTTTCAGCGCTCCCCTCGGCGCCAGCGGCCTCGTCACGCGGCCCCGCGCAGGCACTGCGGCGAGGCAGCTCCCGCTGCCGCTCGCGGTGGTGCCTGCGGGCAGCGATGCCGGCGGCACTCACCGACGCCCTCCTCTCCGTAGCCCAGGTGGGGCGGGATGACGAGCGTGCGCCGCTCGCCCACGCACATGGCCTGCAGCCCCATGTCCATGCCCAGCACCACCTGCCCCGAGCCCAGCACGATGTTGTAGGTCTTGCCAAGGCTCAGCCTGCGGGGGGAGATGGAAACATCATCGTGAAAACGCAGCAGCATGTAGCAGAATTTCTCTGGCTCAGTGTCATCATGTCATCACTGTCCCGCCACTGACAAAAATGCACTTCCTGCCCAGCGCTCTGCTCCCCCAAGCAGGTTCCTGGAGCTCTTCTCAAGGATCAGGCTGCAGCCAACACCAAACACAGGGGTCCCTGCTGCCAGCCAGGGCTGGCCAGCTGCCCCAGCATTAAAATTACAGGTGTCTTGAATTAAATCTAATTACTATAATCAATCCTGCCAATTAAACCTCCAAAGAATGTTATCTTTAAACAAAGGCTTCCTGCCTTGCAAACTATTTTAACTAAGTTGTTTTTCTAGCAGATCTACAAACTCCAGACGTACATTTGCTCCAGAAGCACAAAGCTGCAGCTATCTGTGTATATTTACAGGTGCAAGCCATCCCTTTAACTAAATCACTCACCATAATGTACTCGTCACTTATGCACACTTAACCACAGCAGCTTTGAACTCTAAGAATGCTACAATATTATATATTGTATCATCAATAGATGTAGATGTAGAATGATGCAGAATGCTACATCATTATATATTATATATTTTTACATGCATATACACTATGGTATATACACTATAGTATATACACTAGTATATACACTATATATACACTAGTATATATGTATATATAGTATATAGTATATATAGTATATATATATAGCATATATATAGTATATATGTAGTATATACACTAGTACTATAGTGTGTACATATATAATATTGCACAATATTATACTGTGAATTACACCTTGCTGCTGGTATCGTACTTCTAAAATACGCCATTAGCAGAAATCAGCAGAAAATCCCTAGGCACTCATTGCCTGGAATGCTGCTTTCTTTTGCCAGTCTGCCTGCTTCAGTCTCTGGCCTGGGGGCAGCAGCCCCGGCCTGCCTCACCAGCCTGCAGGAGGGAAGGGCAGCGTGGCTGTGCCAGCCACCTGCTGCCCCCGGGGCAGTTTCTCACATCCTAGGTAAGCAGACACGACAGGCATATTCCAACACAAACAGTCCGTCTTGGACACAAAAAGGCTTTCCTCACCCCTAGTGCGTGCTGCAGGTCGTTCCTTGAGCTTTCGCGCCCCGAGGGGACGCTGCCCTGGGCACTTACGTGGAGTCCAGCAGGGTGCCGTCCAGCAGCGACGCGTTGTAGTGGTACTTGAGGTAATCGCCCTTCTTGCTCAGCACGCTGCAGTTGGCCGGCTTGTGCTTGACGGTGATGCCCACCGAGTCCGCAGGGTTGTGGAAGTCGACCACGTGGATGTCGAAGATCAGCACCGCAGAGCCCGGGATCTTGCCTGCGTAGGAGGAGGCGGCGCTCGAGCGGGTTTGCAAAGGCCTCGGACTGCCCCTATGCAAGAGCATCCGTCCCCCTTAGGCCTGACAGGGCCTGGCCTGACAGGGCCTGGCTGGCTCCGGTCTCCGGCTCGGAGGACGGAGGCTCCCCGTGCGCAGCGGGGCTGCCGGCAGCACCCGGAGCTGCAGAGACCAGGGGGAGCTGCCCACGGGCACCCGCTTCAAGGAAGCATTTCTGCCACTCAGAATCTAAAGATCACGCAGAAATGGGGCAATATTTCCTGTGACCCTCCCAGTTGACGGATTTTCCATTTCATGCACCAACTCGTTGCTGATGGGCAAAATTCTCCTGGAATTCCTCATGTGTCAAGGGATGACATTGTGCCTTGAAGGCAACTCCCTTCCCTCCTTCCCGGGATAATGTGCAATTACATTGTCATCAATGACAGGCATATCCAGAATCAACTATCAGTTTTAGTGACAGAAAAAAATAATTCCCAAACCACCATAGTATAATTTGAATAGAAATCACCAAAAAGCATCTTTTTGTGTAAGGTGTCAGCTTCCCCGCGTAGCACCCCGGTGGTAACTTCTGAAACTCCAGCCATAAACTTGTGACTGGTTAGAAGGATGAATATATTCAACCTCTTGCAATCCTCTGAGGAAAGGGGAGCCTTCCCCAAGGAGCTTTCCTGGCACGCTGGACCCACATCCCACGCTGCTGCCACGTGTGGACCTCGGAGTCCACAAACCCTGTGGCTGTGCAAGGAACGGGGCAGGAAACCTAACACCCTGAATTCCTTTCAGCACGGAGCTCGCTAAGGGATCAGAAGGGAGATCCGCTCTGCAGAGTTCCTGACACCCAGGTGTCTGTCTGCATGAAACACTCAGCAGCCAAATGGCCGCGGGTCACCAGTTACACGAGAGGCTGCCCCGCATTCCTACTGCCCTGCCCATTAAACTAATTAAGGTAATTTTACAGGTTCAACCCTATCGGTTGCACACCTACCAAATAACAGAGGAATTCATAAGCCTTGCAAATGTGGAAAAAAATAAAGCGGAGCGGGTAATTTAAAGCGTATCTACATGCAACTGCCCCGAGGAGCAAGGAAACCCCATTAGCCAGGGCAGACCGTACGAAACAACAAGCCAGACTCACCGCTTCCTTCTTCCCCATATCCAAGATGAGGGGGGATCGTTATCCGCCTCCTTTCGCCAATGCAGACGCCCAGCAGGCCCTCGTCCATGCCGGGAATCACGTAGCCCTTGCCCACGTAGGTGTCGTACGTCCGGTTGCGCGCGTAGCTGCGGAGAGCGGTCGCTCTTCAGCGGCGGCCGCCAAGCGCCACCACCTCCAGCCTTAACTGCCCCCATCCCCAGCCCAGCCGGGCCTAAGAAAGGGCCTACAAACTACACGGGGCTTAGGTGACACCCTGCAGCACCCATCCCATTTTGCAACAACCACAAGGATGCAGTTTAGGTGCCACGGGTATCAGGTGGCAGAAGCAGGTTCTTCACCTCAGATGCCTGCAAGAGCAGTGAGTCATGACAAGAGTATCCACCACATCCCTCCCTTCCAGACTATGCCGGTCACTTAGGTCCAGGTCACAGCATCTCCCTCCACACCTCAAGACAAAACGGGTCTACAGCAACAGATGATGTTTACTGTGAAGGATGCGGCTGTGCTCTGCCCTTCTCGGGGCTTGCTACCTGAAAGCTCAAAGAAGGGAACGCGCAAAGGTTTCACTTCAGCCTTAGAAGGCATCTCCGGGGAAGGAGGAGGCCTGGACAGACCCTCATGCAGTTCAGAGCTTTGTTCAGCTACCTGCTCTAAGCCCGGGCAGCCACTTCTGCAACCCACCATCACAGAGAAAAAGAAAAGTGCGATGGAAAATTATTAGTGCTCTCGACCACCTTGCTAGCCCTGCGTGGGGAGCGCTCCTGTTCCGTCGCGTGGTTTTCCAGGGCAGCTCCAAGGTTTTCAGGAGCTGCAGCAGCTGCTTTGCCACTCTCTGCAGGACCAGCCAACTCGGCAGGGTGTCCCCAGCTCAAACACAGCCTGGCCTGTAACTCCCGCAGGGAACAGGGAATGACCAACAAGCCCCACGAAAACTGTCAGCTCTCCAGGTGACAGAGCAGCCCCTGCCTACCTAACAACTGATGCTATCTGCTGATAACAGCCCTTACATAAATACCACAGCCACCTGAAAACTCCCTAATTGCCGGAGTGCTCCAATCTCTAATTGCACATAACTCAGCTCACGTTGCAAGCTGCTCCCGATCTGCAGCTTACTGCATCCGTAGAAGTGCGAAGCCGTTTTCTAGGAGTTTATTTTGTAAAACATTTCACGAGTGGATCATTTGCGACTCTTTTTAGCTACTCATGTCAGCTCTTCTACCTGGAGTAGGAAAAGTAAGCCCTTGCTGACTAAACAGGAAAAAAAAAAAACCCAAAAACCCCAAAGTGTCAGGAAGCTACAAGGATATTTATTATTTAGAGTATAATCCTGCACAACTCTCACGTGCCCAGAAAGCTTTGGGCCCCAGTGGCAGTGATCCCTTTTCCACTATCACCCAAATCCTGTTGCTGAACTCTGCTCCGTAAAACATTATCCTTCAAGACGCAGACAGACACTGCTCAAACACAGCAGGAAAGACTATGCTGACATCAGGGTCTGGTTTAAATAACCTCCGCCAGCCACGAGCTCACCGCTTCGCAATTCCCTAGATGTTAAATTGGAATCATGTTTATTTTTCCTCTCCCGTTAGCAAGCGACCGTTTCACGACAAGCTCTTGGCCTGAAGCTCCCCACGGACCTTGCTCCACGTGGTGGATCACAGCCCCTAGATGGCATCAGGCACTGCCCAACACTTGGCCTTGGGAGGCCTTTCTTAGGGCAGCCTCCAACCCCCTCACGGATTTCCAAGGAAGGGAAACCCACCAGTTGTACCGGGCACATCACGGACAGCCACACTGGGGAATCCGAGGGCAGGCTCCGGACCCGCTCACCTGGAATCGAAGAGGGTGCCGTCCAGCAGGGAGCCATTGTAGTGGTAGCGCACGAAGTCTCCGGGGCGGCTGCGCCGCTCGCAGCGCTCCGGCACGAGCTGCTGCTCCACGGCCACGCCGTCCTTGGGGTTGTGCAGGTCCAGCAGGGCCACGTCGAACACCAGGGAGGCCTGCGCAGGGATCTCCTTACCTGCGCCGTGGGAACAGCAGCATTAGCAAGGAAGGGCACGGCGCGTAGAAGGGACTTGGGCTTTTTTTACTGAAGAAAAATAACCTTTTTTGGAGTATCAGGCACTTCCCCTACAAATATAAATGAACATAATCCACTAAAGTCGCCTTTTGTTTCGTGAATTTGTCACTTGCATTCAATTACTTCGTTTTGTTCTCATTAGGATGCCACCTGATCACCAAGAATTGCAGTGTCTTCAGCGACACCTCTCACAGTCCCCTTGCACGAGGTCCGTCTGCGCTGCATGCTCAGCCTAGGAGTGTTTCCAACATCTGGGGGAACGTACATGGAAATAACAGCGAGATCTGGCCCTCCTGCTCCTCCTACTTGGCAGCAGCAGAGCAGAAGAGCACCTGACGGAGGTTGAAAAGGGGTCAATGGAGTCCCTCGGGGAAGAAGGACCTTTCTACAGGTCCACAAATTATATCACAGAGAGGTGTCAGAACTTAAAACCTTGGCAAAATTTTCAAAGGCAAGAGTATCCATGGAAAACAAAACTCTAACGGTAAATAAAGTCAGGGAATGAGTATGAAAACTTGCACACCACAAACACAGACAGTCCTTAAATGCTTAGAGCAGAAAGAGAATTTAAGCAAGGAGGAGTCCCCAGGACTCCCAGTGTCCCCTCGCTCAGTGCATGACCCGCAGGCTGCATCCAGCCTGCGAGCAGTTAGTCCATCTGGTAGCTATCCCTGGGGGCTCTGCTGCCAAAAATGAGCAACACTTGGACTATCAGAAGTCACTGGAAGAACCAAGCAGTCACCTGACTTCTAATTTCCTGAATACTAAACACAGAGGAAATTTTCTGAAAGGAAATTAAATTTGACCATATAACGGTTCAAATTAGAACCAAGAATATTGTCAATTTACTGCCTGCAGGAAAAAAAGGAAATCCTTTCTCATCAATGACCTCCTGCTCATCGTACATTTGAACCTCCCTTTTCCACCAGAACGTGCCATTTGTCAGTAAGTGGTAACGACGCTGCCCCTGAACTAAAAGAGAGCACAGATTTGAGTTAGAATGTAGACTGCTTGGGAAAGACAAAGAGTAACTTTTACCGTCTCCTTCTTCTCCATAGGCCAGGAAAGGTGGTATTGTGATAATGCGCTTCTCCCCTACGCACATTCCCAAGAGACCCTGGTCCATACCGGGAATGAGCCACCCAATTCCAACATAGGTATCGTAAGTTCGCATCCGATTATGGCTAGAAATGTAAAATAAAGAAAAAATAAAAATACGTCACAGGGAGGGACGGAACTAATCCCCAGGGGCCCCACCACATAGGAACAGAACAGCTCTCAAGGCGCTGCTTTAAATATTTTGCTCCTTGATTTACCAAGGCCTTGCTTGGTAGCATTTTCCAGAGCACTTAACTGGCATATGAACCTAAATATTTTTTGAAATGAACCTAAATATTGTTTTGAAAACTGACTTGCAAACGCACCAGCAATGGTATTTACGTATCACTTTCCTCGGAACATGAACAGAATAAAATCTCAATGTGAGAGTGTTACTAGTTCAATCTCTTTAGCAATCCTGTCTGCTCAGTTTACAAACATTGCATCTAGCTTGAACAGCAACGCTGCAATTATTACAAAAACTGTTAGCTGACGACAACAGACAGTAACATGGATACAGGGAATGAGAGAAAAAATCTGGGCTTCTGATGCCCATGTGCAAAAAATGAAATTGTTTCACAGGTTTGAGTCCATGCTGCCGTGCCACAATCCTGAATAAACTACTGACATGGTGTGAGGCTGGCTTTAGGTTCCTGCAAAACCTCTCTGTGTTTTGGGGCAACCAGCATTACTTGTGGTATCAGTGGAAGCATCAGGAAAAATCTGCTTTAGGTGACGTGGGACTAACACACCCCAAGCGCCGAGCCCGGCCGCGCACCTGGAATCAAAGAGGGTGCCGTCCAGGAAGGTCCCGTTGTAGTGGTAGCGCACGAAGTCGGACACCTGCACCGTGCGAGGACAGGCCTCGGGTCTGAAGTAGGTCTCAACCTGCACTTGGTCCTCGGAATTCCACAGGTCGACGAGGAGCACGTCAAAGTGGAGCACGGCGTCGGGCGGGATCACGCCGGCTGCAAGGGCAGAGCAAGGCGCGCGGTGGCACCGCGAGCGGTGGCCTCTCCCTGCGCCTCCCGGGGCGCTTCCCGGCCTCTTCCCGCTCGTGTCCAACCCCGCCGCGCCATGTCCCGTGGGGAAGCCGCGCCGCGGGACTCACCCACGCCCTCGCTGCCGTAGGCGAGCCCGGGGGGGATCTGCACGAAGCGCCGCTCGTTGACGCACATGCCGAGCAGCGCCTTGTCCATGCCCGCAATGAGCTGCCCCTTGCCCACGAACACGTTGAACGTGGAGCCCCGGTCATAGCTGCAGAGCCAGGGGAGGGCAACAGAACAACGAGAGGGGCAGTGACCGACCGCTCCCAGCGGGTTCCGCAGAGCTTGGCTCGTTTCTGCTTTATGCTGTTAGCACAACTTTTATTCAGAGACAGCTGCTAAGAGGCAAATCCCAGGATTTCTGGAATTCCAGTTCCCCCTTCCCACCGCTGCTCCTATGGCCTCTCAGATGGTTTGTAACGTGTGATGTCAACTGCAGAAGCCCAGAACGGCAGCTGTTCAATGCTAAGCTAATGCTTAACTAGTGCTACAAGCAGCACTGGAAAATCAATGACGAAAGGGACGGGCTAAGCACTATGTAAGATACAAGGATGGCTGCTCCCGCATAGGCTCCAACCTATTTGTATCAGTTGATTAACGCCTTTATGTAAGTTGATTAACCAGGAAAACAGGACACGAGATCAATAAGCTCCATGACATGAGACCTCGTGGTTGGAAACTCTCTGTGGGAGCAGAGGAAAGGGGAGACGGTGCCTTTTGTGAGACCTGGCAGCCAGCTACCTGCTTTCCCTTCCGCAGTCGCAGCCCTCACGTCATGCAGATCGGAACCAACGGCAGAAACCACAGATGTGCTTTAAGCAGCGTGTCTGCGGGACCAAGAATTGATTCATCCTGCCAAGCCTTCCCCTGTGATAATGCGTGAACGCTGGGTAAGTAAAAACTATGCACAGAGGATGATAAAATATTCCAGAGGCCACTGAGAGCAGCAGCGCTGGCGTGATTTCAAACTAACACAAGCTCTTGTGGCGAGAGCTTAACTACCTTAAACCCACGCCGTGGCCTCGCTTTGCCATGTCTGAATTTCTGCTCTTATTCCTATTCTCTTAGGGCAACATTCAAGTATAAGCCAGGGGACACTTCAAAAGTTTCTTGCCTATTTTTAGGCTTTCACTTATTTTTCCCAAGCTCTTTTTACAATTTAAAATATATATATTTTTTTTTTCTTCCGGATAAAAGGGAGCACTGAAAAAGAGACAAGGGCACGTGTGTCTTTGCATGCTAAAACACCCTGGGAAGCTCCTGGCTGCTTCCCAGGGTATCACTAGGGAAATGATGTCAAACTTTCCTTCGAAGCTGGAGCACATCCCTGCCACGGCATTCCAAGACTCCCAGCAGGCCCAAGCCTCAAAGCCCTCAACTATTTGTGCAAACGATCTCTCTGTTTACGATTTTCCTTCTGGCAATTTTTTTTTTTCCTTAAAACAGATATGCCTCTGTACAGGGCGCTCGTGGCTCTGGCACAAATATTCCTGTTCCTAGAGAAGGAGGGGAAATATTTAAACAGGCTCCTGACAAACTCTGCTATGTATGTAAATAGAGAATTAAGATGTTATTAACATAAAAGATTCTGGAAAAGAAAGAACAAGAAAAAAACAAGAAAAGTGACGAGTTTTATGAATTGCTACAGAATATGACCATGTCTTGGACAGATTTAGAACGAAAAAGGATTCAGTCCTTTGTACCTAAAATGAACCTACAATTTAGAAGCCTTTGACACCAAGTGAAGAACTGAGCAAAGCAGCGCGCAGACCACGCAGCTCTGCACGACTGACTTTGCAGACTCCTTAAAACTAAGCAGAATTAGTTTCCATTAATGGGTATTACCAAAGTCACAGCAGATGTACATGCAATTGGAATTCAGGCTTTACAACCTTCCTCATCTTAGGGCCGAGGGAATAAAGCCTCTAACACTGAAAGAAAAAAAAAAGCTAAAGAATATTTGGGCAGCAGACTAAACAGTGAAGTTAAACTGGCCTTTGTTCCTCCCTACAGATATCTTCTAGACCAATTTCATGGTAGAATTTGACTAAATTGATGCTTTACCAGTAAACATTTTCATCAACTTAAAAAAAACTTGCCTTTATGAGCAGTAGAATAATGGGCCTTTTAGTATTTTAGGTCTACTTTAGGTATAAATTGGTTATCTTAAATTTGTAAGCAGCAAGCATTAGGGGTTTTAAGAGAAATATTCCAAACTATTCGTGCAGTTAATCTACGGATCCCAGCGACAGCGGGCTAACACCCGTCCTATATCCTATATCCTATATCCTATATATGATGTTTCGGGGACGAGAGGAGCTGGAGGGTGCCCAGTTCCGCTCTGGTGCCGCAGAACCAGCAGGCCGGGCCCGAGGGCCCGCGCGCCAGCGGCTGAGCTGGGCCTGCCCCTCCAAACACCGGCGCCAGGCCCGCTCCCAAAGGCTCCTCCAGGTGTCCTGCCTCGCCGCGGGATAAATCGGAACCACATTTCCGAGCACGTGGCCGGTTTGCAGAAGGAGCACTGAGGATGCAGCCCCTGCACGTCATCCCCCTGCGGCTAAGGTGTTTTGCAGCTGCCAGCAAAGCCGGTGGCTTTGCAGGCTGCGTTACGTCGAGCTGCACGGTGCGAGGCCGGCGCCGCGGCCAGGCCCCTGCTGAGGTGGCAGCCCAGGCTGCGGCGCTGAGCAGCCTCTGACGGGCACCAACTCCCCCGGGGCCGTGGATTCCCTTTGAAGCCACAGTGAAGATTACTGGGATTACTGGGAATAAATTTGGGGTTATTTTTTTCTTTCTGAGTAATACTTCGATCTGCGGCAATGAATGAATCAGGAAAGAAAAAACAGCGAGTGGCGAGAGGGCCGTATCAGCATCCTCGGCACCCTCCTGAGCCACTGCTCAGGCTTTCCGATGCCAAAGAAGCTCCAGGATGGGTCACGTTGCTTCAGGAGTAACTTCCACAGGGCTTCCTGAGCAAGCACAGCCTGGTAATTCCTGCCTTTCTCATGGGAAGGCCTCATGCTTTTGTGCGCACTCAGTTAAGCTGGAGCCTTGGAGATGCCCAAAGCGCCCCGAAGGAAGGGCCGGCAGCCGTGGGCCAGCCTGGCCGTTGCTCCGCGCTGCCAGCACCCGGAGCCACCATCCCGCAGCCTCTGCGGGATGAGCGGGACCACGGGCTGCAGCCCGGTGGGATGTGAACTCGAGCCCTGAGGGGGATGCACTCCGGGGTGCAGGGAAACAATCTGGAGATGGGAAGGGGGTGCAAACTGGCCAGAGGTAGGATGCGCATCGGGGCCTGAGGGATGCAACCAGGTCAGGGGCAGGATGCACACACGGACCTAGGGAAAGGGATGCAATCCGGACCAGGGTAGGATGCACCCGGTGCCCATGGGATGCAATCTGGACTCAGGCAGGATACAAATGAGAGTCCGGCAGAGGATGCAATTTGGACCAGGACCTGAGGGGTGCAATCCAGACCGGAGCCAGGACACACACTGGGAGCTGAGGGATGCAATTCAGACCCAGGCAGGACACACATGAAAACCCAGGGGATGCAATCCACACTGGAACCCGGCAGGGCAGGACACAGACAGGGACCAAGGGAAAGGGATGCAACCGAGACCCGGGCAGGATGCAAACGGGCCACTGGGAGACGCAACCCAAACTGGGACCTGGTAGGAGATACAATCCAGACCAGGGCCAGGATGCACACCAGGACCTGAGGGATGCGATTGGGGTTGGGGCAGGACGCACACAGACCCCAAGGGATGCAGTGTGCATCCAGACAGCATGCAGACGGGTGCCCTGGGGCGGATGCAACGCGGAGCGGGGCCGTGGGGGGTGCAATCCGGAGCGGGACCTGGCGAGGGGCACGATGCGGAGCGGGCCGCGCTGCGGCGGGAGCGGGGCAGACCTGGAGTCGAAGCGGGTGCCGTCGGCGAAGGCGCCGTGGTAGTGGTAGCGCACGAAGTCGCCGCGGCGCACGGCGCGCGGGCAGCGCGCGGGCACGAAGCGCCGCTCCACGCGCACGTCGGCGCCGTCCCAGGGAGCGGGCGCGGGCACGGGCGGCGCCTGGCACGCGGCGCGGCCCCGCAGCAGCGCGCCCAGCAGCGCGCCCAGCAGCGCGCCCAGCAGCAGCGGGCCCCGCCGCCGCTCCATGGAGCCGCCACCGCTCCTCCTTCCTTCCTTCCCAAGCTCCCTCCCTGCTCCGGCTCTTCCTGCGAAACTTGCAAACGTGGATGAGGCGCCGCCGGCCCCTTCCCTCGCCGCCTCCCGCCCTCCTTCCCGCCGGGAAGGGGCGGCCCTGGCGCCAGCGCCGAATTATTCACCCATTCGAGTCCGTTTTACGTGTCTGATCCCGGACTATATGGGTTATATCCTGGGCTATAGCCAGGATATAGCCCCGAAGGGGGGGCCCTGCTATAGCCCAGGATATAACCCATATAGTCCAGGATATAACCCATAAAATCCCCACTTTAGTGCTCACCTTTGGATGCTCCGTGGGGACCCAATAAATGCCACGTTGGAGCTGGGTGTCCCAAGCAGATGCGGGCTCAGAGCTGGCACCCGCCCGGTGTCTGTTACTTTCTTTTTACTCCCTTGGGCCTCGTGCGGAAGGAGCAGCTCAGGGTTGTTCTCTGCCACGCTGGAGTGGTGCTGGGGGAAAAATACAAGGAAAAAATGAATGGACTCTTTAGCATCAAAGCCTGAACATTAAAAGATAAATAATGTGGTATTTTTGAAAAAAGAGATGCTAAATTTTAGGACATGGGTTTCCTGGTGGCCTTCCTTAAGCACCGCAAGCCCCAGGAATACCCTTTATTCAAGAAGCACTGAAAAGTTATTCTTAACATTCTGCTAGTTTACAAAGCATATATATGCTTTGTTTATTTACATGTAAACTAACAGTAGCAGCAGTTGAAAATAAGTCTTACTTATTTTACTTATCCTGGTTTGTTCAAACCCTAACCCAGCTTCCCTGGAAGCATCCTAGGGATGCTGATCACTATCCGATTGCATCTTCTCCAGTCACCTTGAAACACAGCAATGACTAATACAGTCTGACGAGCTGGATAAGCACGGACATGCCTGGAGCTGCTGGAAAAAAAACTGTCCCAGAGAAAGGATTATCCTTCCCAGAGTTCAAAACACAGTACAGCCACAGAGCATTCCCTCTTCGAAACTGCAGCTTTCAGGAATGTCACAGGTTAGGGCCTGAAACGAGGACCAAGGATCACGCAGTTACCTGGGGACAGGAGTGCCAGCTCGTGAGGGGGAATTCAACAGCTCAAATGGGAGGAAGGCAGATAGGAAAATTCCTTCATGCTGCTGGATCAAAACATGTTTGGGAAGCACGTAAAAAAAAGAAAAGGAAAGAAGGTTTCAGCTGGAGTTTGAGTTCAGCAAGATCCTGCCCAAGTGTAATCTGAGATCCGAGCTTTTCCTTGGAATGCGCTCGAAGCCAAGCACAAGAGCTGGTGGGCCTGGTGCACTGGAAACCTCTGCAGCAGAACACCCATTGGAGTAAGTGTAGGAGGGGTGGTGACTAGTGGGACGGACTCCCGCAGTGTTTAACCACTAATTGTTGCTGCTGACCCATCGCAGGGCTGAGATTACAGAGCTGAGGGGCCCGTGTCCCGGGGCCTCGCGTTCATCTCCTGTCTCAGGAAGCAGGTTTTCTAAAAAGGTAGCAGGCAAAGACAGAAAAACATAGGCTGCACATACGATGCTTTCCAAATACTCTATCAATTATAGATCAAGAAAAACACAAGTAGCTTTTATGTTTTCCCTCGAAAGAAAATGTCAGACAAAACAACTGTAAACCGTGACAGGCAAATTTAGAGGACTCTGGTAGATACTGGGAGTAAAATAGTGAGCAATGAAACACACAGCTATGAGCTGGTATCAAGTTCAATTTAAAAATAAGAAAGTGTGCCTGCACTTAATCATCTGGTAGTATTCAGAAAGATCACAGCGTAGTATTGGTTTTGGCAGTGAAACCTAGAGGGGGATTGTGTGAAGGGACTCGGAATTATGAAAATAATTCCTCTAAAATTTTTCACAGCTGCTCCTCTCAGTAATTACTCTGTTTGAAGCTCAGTTCTTGGTTTCAACTAGTATGAAAGAACCATTCTGTTCTCCCTGCTGAGCTGTTCTCCCTTCCTTTTGCCTAAGAAAAATAAAATCCCCAGTTATAACTCAGCACTAATTTCTCATTTAAAGTATCTGTTAGGTTCTTGGAGATTCTCAGATACTTTGAAACAACCACACAGTCCCAGAATTTTAATACTGTTTCTATGTATTGAATATGACTAGTGTACTTCCATGAAACAATTCCAATAAATATTGGGTTTTGTTAAAAGCATTTGAATGAATACTATTTGGTTTTACACAGCTACATGGCAAAGTCAGAGCACCTGCAATCAGAAGTATTTCTTTGTACACAAAACATTTTAATGCAAGTTCCACCAGTTACACATGACTGGATAGCAGCCTCCTGTCAACAGCATGATGCAGCAGGGACTGACACAACCCTGGGCCATGTTAGGGTCTCCTGTTTCTCTTACCTATATATTTTAATGCAATTAACTCCGCAGCATCTCCATTCCACAGAACTTCTCCACTTGATGGGGGTTCGCATCTGTAATGGAAACATCCTAGGAGACTGCAGGGAGGAAAAAAGTAGAAATCAAGTAACTAAATTTAGGCTTGTGCCTTACAAAATCCAGAAACCAGTGAGTCTTATGTAACTGTCACACACAGCATGTATGTCCTGCAAAGCCGTGTTGCTCAGATCATGCCAACAGGCATTTCCTGCCCCAAGAACCCTATCTATCACACTGCTTTCCTGCATTGCATTAGAAACAAACACCATCTGACAACAGCTGGGTATTTTGCCTACTTAAAGGGTCTTCCTTGACTCAAAAGGGAGGGCAGGAGCCTCACACATCTGCTGGAAGTGAAGAAATTTTCTCAAGCTGCAGAACAGACACTGCTGTCTGAAACAGCAAGTGCTAATTGGGTAACTAATTCATCTTGCCTAAATTTATCCTGCCCAAAGCTGCCTGAATAGAGTTGGCTGGTAATTTAGGTGTGGACCATGACTCTAGCCCCCAAAGAACCCTTTCTTCCAAGCTTCAGCCCTCCTCCACATGCTCACCTACAACTCCATCTCCGGCCCGGAACATTTTATCCGTAAAACGGCTTCTGGAAGCTGCCTGCTCACGTTGGGAGGAGAAGAGGATCCAGCTCCTCCTCAGACAACTCGGCACTGTGTGAGCTATGCAGAGCTCCCTGAAACCTGAGGGCATCTGCTCCACCAGAGGCAAAGCCAACCTGCCTCCTGACACGAGCACATGACGAACTCGCTCTGTGTCTGGGACAAAGGGCCCATTTTCAGAGGTGAGCAGAGAGAGGGAAGTCAAGTCCGTGCCTCGTGTACCCACACTTCAGCTTAAGGAAGCTGGAAATAAAACACCGTGTTATTTTGCCCTCTGTCATTACTACTCACGTGTGGGGCCCTGGGGCACCGGCCTGCGGTGCAGAGCTCCTGCAGCCCCAGATGAGCTCACTCCCACGGCAGCCGTAAGCAGCAGCTTGCGCGCAGCAGCTCTCCTGCGCACGCAGCTCCCTGCAGCCACCTCTGCTGCCGCCTCACACCTCCGGCAGGGATTCCTGTCCTGTTGGGAATCTTGAGAAAGAAAAAAAATACATGTTTAAACCTCAATTCTAAGAGCTCACTTTAGTACTAGAACACCGTTATTTAGGAAATTCATAGGGTATTAACCACATTTCTGAACATCTTGTTCTTAAGCAAAGGTCACGAGCAACCATAGGCTGATAGTGCAATTTCAAGCATATAATCTATGTCCTAAAGAATATTTTAGGCCCAGTCTTACAAAACGAGGTGCTTCCAGCTCACAAAACCAAATGTATGTGTTTGCACAAAACTGTCAAGACTACCCTGAGCGCTGAGGACTTTCTGATGCTGCTTCTGTGCTGCTGGGATGTGATTACAAATCACAGCCTTTTTATTGCCCACATTCTCCACCAGATGTTGTATCTGAATTTTGACAGCCTGTCCTCCAGGTTGGGGTCCAGGCTAAACATCCTGCACGATGTAAGTGGGTGAAAGAAACACATCCTACACACAAAGCCAGGAATTAAAATCTTGGCAAATGGAAAAGTTTCGGCAACGCTAACTCCTATAGTCTGGATTCACGAATTACTGCAGCTCATGCAATAACAACAGCATTAAAACCACTGCCATAAACTTCCCAGGGTCCCTTCTCTCATATCACGCTCACCTTACACCACTCCTCTGGTCCAAAAGTCAGTGACACCAGTTTTCTTTATAAAAAGTGAGGGCTGGCTCCAGCGAGTTGCTTTAGTCACGACTCCAGTGTTGTTACTCACGGTTTCTTCTTCCTCTTGGCCAGGAGGAGGATGATGTGGATGCTGGTCATTTCTTCCTCCTCACCTTAGGCCTTCTTGGGGTCATTTTTATGCATTTGCTAACAGTCTGATCACTTGGTATTTCTACACTGGTTCACAATTCCATGTTATACCTCACTTTACTACATGTGATATGTTTTAAATACACTGTAGACTTGTTCTTTGTTCTCTCTGTTACACCCCAAAACAGATTTATCCAATTCCCCAGGCTTCATTTCTGTAAGAGCTTGTATTAAATCACGAGTGGCTTGCACCTACAGCCAAGGCCTCTGCAACTCTCATGTGCTTCCATTTTCAAGGTTTCCACTTGCTTTGTGCTTGTATTTTGGGAGGTCTAACATTCCCACAGCCTTCAAGCTGTGGCCCCAGATACCTTAATGTTTTATCAACACAGCCTGGCCACCCGCAGCTGATATCTAGCAGTTTCGTGACATCACTGATACATTATCAAGATGATTTTATGACAGGGTAGAATACATGCCGTGTCTTAGTCTGCTCAGGCCTGAGCCCCACTGAAGGTGCTAAGCTGAACTTACTACATATGCCACAAGTGACACAAAGGAGCTCTGGCCAGGCACAAACCTGCCGAAATGCCGCAAAGTATCAACCAGATGACTGCAGCTGACAGCAGCCTTCAAGGGCGAGTACCTATGAGGGAATGTTCTTGGATATGGCTCATAGCTAAAGCAGCATGATGAGATAAAAATATGGCAGTTTTTAGCCTGATGCTGCAAAACGTTGTTTTTGTGTATGTGGCATGACTTGCAACACCCGATCCCCTTTCTCATTCGTGGCAGAGCTGTTCTCGGGCCAGAGGCCCTGGCTCAACGGGCTTCACGGCTGCACCGTTTCTGCTCTGGTCCTGCTGCATGAGCTTCTTGGAAGGGGCAGGGCAGGAAGCGGGGCTGGAACCAGGAACCTCCACTTATTTCTTTTCAGCTACCTAGGGAGAAGCTGTTGGTAACCTGACATATGGCAAATATGTGGAATTTAAAGAGCTGCGAACTTTGGATAGGAAACAACTATGGCTACATGGGTACAGCTGTCATGCAAGGAACTGACTGATCTGCTATTTTAACGGGAGAAAGTCACCAGGCAGCTAGCAGAACAAAGCAGCTTTGCCTTAAACCTTTTAGACTGTATTTTTCATCACTTTTAGACTGTATTTTTCATCACTTTTAGACTGTATTTTTC